CATGCTTAATTAACAGGGTTTTGCCAATAACTAAATAGTTATCTTTTTTTTTTTTTTACAAAAGTAGGATTTAGTAATAGATCAGGATGCAACAGAACTTTGATCCAAGTGAGAACTTTAATACATAAACAGGTACAACGGCAAGAAAAAATGATTTAAAGACAATTAATGCTACTAAAAGCCAAAGTAAGGAGCCAAATCATGAGAAAACAGAAGCCATAATAGAAAAGGGTGCTGGAGGTAGATAGCCTCGTGAGACCATCCTGATCTCGCCAGCTTTCAAGGTTTCACTCGCTAATCAGTCTGGATACTCTCCGTTGAAGAAAATTTGGAGCCGTTCACCAAACGAACGTCCAATCAGCGTTGGCTTTGAGGCGGGTTGAGGTGTGACGCAACGAGAAGCACGACAGTTCAGTCTAAAGAACATGGCGGCTTCAGCCGATGAAACTAGCGTTAGCGTGGCTATCGAACAAGTTTTATCGGAATTACAGAGTATTTCTTCACTGAAAGAAGATGAAAAGATGCTTTTGCTCTTCTCCCGACTGGTTTTGGCAAGAGTTTGATCTATCAATTGGCTCCTCTTTGTCATCGCTCTTTTAGCACGTCATATGCTTCGTTGATCTGATTGGTTTATTTGGCCCGTCTATCACCAACATAGGCCAATCAGCTAACCAGTATTTTCACTCCTTCCCAAAATTACTTCAACGGAAGGTTTCCAGATGGATATGCGGAGGAAATCCATCTGGCGGACTCAGGTTAGGAGGGAGAGGCATCGCTCTAATCCTGGAGAAAATAAATATGACTTTTAAATAAATAAAACTAAACCAATCGTTGCATTTCCCAGTTCTCCTGAGTGGTGGCTGGATTTACACAAGTCAATAAAGAGAATCTGATTGGTCATTTATCAAGGGGGCGGGATTGTTGTGGTGGAAGGTTCACAAGCAAGTTTGGTTGTGGCCAGTTTGTCGGAAGCATCATGCTAACCAGTTAGCAACTTAGTGCTAGTAGGTTCCCAATGGGAAATTCCATTGGGACCAAGTAGCACTAAATTGGTGACTTAGAAACGACGCTGTCAAGGAACGCTTTGGACAGCGGAAACATGCAAGAGGAGGAGAGTTTAGTGTCGGAGGTCGTGGATGAGTCTCCTCCGTCATCCATTTTTTATTTAGAGGAGGAAAGCGGGGACGAAGATGTTGTGGAAGAGGACGCCAGGGCAGCAGAAGCTTGGTTTGGTGTAGAAGGCTTCCAGCCGTACATGTTTGAGCCCTTGCCTCGCAACGCTGCCAGTTCTGTTAGCTCTACGCCTGCCGAAGACACAGACGTCCATCCCTGGGAACACTGGGACGCAACTCAATGGGGAAGGAAAGGATTCTGATTTCAACCTTTGCGTATATTAGCTGCGACATATGAATCAAGATGCTATGACCGAAAAAATTTGATTGACAGATGACCGTTGATATATGGTTGGCCAAATTTAGGCCTGCAGAAGATAACAAAAAAAACGCAGATTTTAAGACTGAATTTTTCTGTAAACAGAAATTTTCACAATTTTAGGACAATATAGTTTGATAAAGCGTACATTTATATACATGTTTAAGCCAGAATGATTCGACATTGAAATATGACTTCCCTACGACTTTAAGCTTAGTTAGCTTTGCTGTTTACGTATCTCTTGCTGCTCTATGCTGCATACTGGCCTGAAAATGTATTTAGTAGAGTTTAAAAAAAAACTTAGGTCAAAATTATATCATAAAGCTGAATAATATTAAACATTAAAGGGTTTTGTTCAGCTAGAGGAGAGAGCAGGCAGTGGTTTTTAAAGGTAGGGCCACCAGGGGGCGCTAGAAAATGGAAGGATATTAAATAAATGAAAAATAGATGTATTGAATTCTGGGAAGGGGGGATTATTATAAAACTTCTATTTTAACAAGTATTATGAAAATAGTTGGTATTTCAGGGATAATACAATTTTAGATGTTTATTATCAGGTATGAATGGACAGAGGCAGAAAGCTTTCTGATAATGGACACCTCAAAGCGCATTATCCCACTTATATCATGGTCACTTATGAAAAAATAGAGAAATATTTCATCAATTATTAAAACATTATGTTTTTCACAAGAAGCAGTTGACTCTTTAATGCCTTTTGTTGGGATGTGTTGCCAAGGCGTGGAAAATGCTTAGGAAGTCCTTGATTTAAGGAATAATCCCAGCATATCAAAAATCCATCCATTTTCCATCACGCTTATCCCAAGCAGGTTCCTGAGGGATGCTGGTGTCTATCTCCAGCTGTATAGGGGCGAGAGGTGGGGTCCACCATGGACAGGTCACCAGTCCATCGCAGGGCCAAGACAAAAATAGAAAAAGAAAATCCAACATTCAAGAACAAAATGCAGCTGTTTGCTTCAACCCAAACAAACAGACTTTCACCACATATGCAGTGTGAACAGATACCCTGATGGATCAATAAATCAATATGCGCCATTCAATATTGGTAAATTCTGATTTTATATACCAAGAAGGTGTTTACATAAATAAATAAATAAAAAAACTGCAGGAAAATTCTGTTTAAATGCAAACCAAAAAAGGAAATGCATGATGGGTATCTTTGCATATCTGCCTTTATTGAACATCTTTAAGAAGAAAATTGCATCCTGTTTAAATCCATCATCTGTAAGCTTTATAAAATAGATCAGTAGAGACAGTTTCAGAACCCCTCAGTACAAACTTAGTGGTAGAAGATGGAAAGAAACCAATAATAGTATTTTTAATTTTCATTTTATTGCAGCTGAATAATCTAACTTTTAAGACATAAGGAGCAGTGTGCTGGGAAGGACTCTGAGAAGGTTTTTAAGTACCCGGTTCGATCCCCACAGCCTGCACTCTGGGTCTCAGAGTAAATTTCCCCATTGTGGGACAATGGTAGCCTCGTGAGACCATCCTGATCTCGCGAGCTTTCAAGGTTTCACTCGCAGATCAGTCTGGAGACTCTCCGTTAAAGACAATTTGGAGCCGTTCACCAAACGAACGTCCAATCAGCGTTGGCTTTGAGGCGGGTTGAGGTGTGACGCAACAAGAAGCGCGACAGTTCAGTCTAAAGAACATGGCGGCTTCAGCCGATGAAACTAGCGTTAGCGTGGCTATCGAGCAAGTTTTATCGGATTTACAGAGTATTTCTTCACTGAAAGAAGAGCAAAACACTGCTCTGGAGGCTTTTCTCAGAGGAAAAGATGTTTTTGCTCTTCTCCTGACTGGTTTCAGCAAGAGTAGCCTGGCTTGTGGTTGTGTTTTCGTGGTCGCTCTGTTAGTACGTCATATGCTTCGTTGATCTGATTGGTTTATTTGGCCCGTCTATCACCAACATAGGCCAATCAGCTAACCAGTATTTTCGCCCCTTCCCAAAATTATTTCAACGGAAGGTTTCCAGATGGATATGCGGAGCAAATCCATCTGGCGGAGTCAGGTTAGAGATTTACATTACATTAGAAAAATACAATCAAACCCTGAGCTTTTAGAAGAACACAAGGCCTGGATCATCATAGATCCTCCACCATACATTACAGTGGGCTTTAGTTAAGAGATAAGATAAAAAAATATATATATTTTAAGACAGGATTTTTTTTATATAGAAATTTTCTAAATTTTGGGACAATATAATCTGATAAAGCGTACATTTATATACATGTTTAAGCCAGAATTATTTAACATTTAAATATGATTTCCCTACGACTTTAAAGGCCTACAGTAGTGCAGCCTACCAAGTATTGAGATATTGCAAAAAGCATGCAGATAATTGGGATTTCATTTATGATGCTGCTTTATATTCAACTCAACAAAGAATATAAGACTGGCTTGTAGGAGTCAGGCTGTCATGGTAATCTGCAGCAACACTGAATTCTGAGAACTCAGCAAGAAATCCCAGCAGAAAACTTTGATCCTAGAGGTCAGAGTATTGAGCAGAAACACTCAAACTTCTTTGTCTAAAGGATGGAAACCAATCAGACCTTCCCTCCAGGTTGGATGGGAATTAATTTAGAACATTTTGGTTCCAGTAAGAAGATTTTTCCTTGAATATCCAGCCTGTGTGGTGAGAGGACACTGCAGCATCTCACCCCAAAGGATGACTGGGCTGCAGTGATGGCTGCCACACAGAAACAAGGCATCAGGCAAAGTTGTAAAATGCATCACAATTTGAGGAAAGATGAGGAATGAGTCACTCAGCAGCTCTAGAGGCTGGAAACTCTGCTTCCATGAGAAGATAAACAGCATCTCCTGCAGAAAAGTCCAGCTCCCACCACAGGACTCCACAGCTACAAGCAGAGCCAACCAGAAATAAGCCTGCTCCTCTCCCTGTTCTCCATCTTATCCTCCCGCTGGGTTTCCACAAGGTCATTTTGACGCACGACGCAGGACGCCTCCAAGGAAGCCGCGTTTAAATCCACCCCGATGATACACAGCAAACCAAAAAAACAGACCTAATCAGGAACATTGTGGATAATTGATCTCAGAGGAAACTAACCTGAGGCGCAATTCAACAGCCATGAGCAGAAAGGAGAGGCAAGGGCATCGGTGCCAAAACTAAAGCCTAATTAGCAAACATGGATGAATTCATCCAAAGCTGAGGTTTTTATCATGTTTAAACGGACTAATCTGAACAAAGATGTAAACCTCTAAGCCAGTTTTTCCTCTGGAAGATGTGCTGCTAACGCAGAGAGGCGCTCTGCAGGAACCAGGACATGGAGCGCATCTGGCAGCAAAACGCGCCCAGAAACAACCTCCTGCACCATTTCCTCACATTTCCAAACTATTGCATTTAATAAGTCAACATTTATAACGAGCTATTGCAGTTTTTCCGCTTTATTGAGCCGCAAAGTGCGGAACTAGAAGCGTTTTAATAGGTTGTAATGAGCGCAATGTGAAATGCTGACAGCGCCGAATATCAATGAATAGAATAAAAACTAAAGATGGGGGAGGATGGGGGGAGGGATAAACGATCTTACCTTTGGGGGTGAGAGGGTCAGTGCATTTTAGGGTGACAGGGATAATCTCGTTGCAGGGAGTCACCCAGATCCTTCAGCAGAAAGAGGCTCCTGTGATGGAAACTGACGCTGCGCCAGGGAGCTGCTCACTCCTCCCCCTTTCCTCCCCCTTTCCTCCCCTTTCTACTACACAGCATCCTTCCTGCATGCATGGAGATACCTCCCCCTCCTCTCTGATCCCAGCTCACTAAAATCCTCCCAGAAGGATGAAGAGTTAAAAATGTCACCTGAAGATGATTATTTTTGATGCAAATCGTCTGTATTTATGAACAAATAAAGAAAGGACCCTAAATGTTTGGTGATGGGATCTGAGCGAGGCGAGCCTCCCTTGGCACGCGTTTGGGCTCGTGCCTCTAATTGGCTCCATTAAAGTTGAAGGAGGCCCCTGGTGGAGAGGAAGCATGACAGCCTGTGAATTTTTCTAAGGAGGTGTTGCAAATAAGATGCAGCTGTAGCATCAGATACCCTGATGGATCAATAAAGCAATATTCTAATAAAATGAAAGCGGTGCTTTTGTGACCAAAATTATAAAAGGGCAATCAGTTAATTAACATAAAATATTACCTGCAGGAAGAGTTTTTTTTTTTTATGTTTAAAATTGTATTTTTATCCTTTGCCTTAAACATTTAAAGCAGGGGTAACCAATTATAAATCAGTGAAAATCATCAACCAGTAAAGGTCTGGAGACATTTTTATTAATTATAATCTGTTACTTTAAGCAGAATTTAACACTGAAATCAAATTAGGTTTTTATGCATTCTATATCTGTCATGGTCCCTGTCTGATTGTTCCTGTTTTCCTTAGTTATCCATTTGTTGCCCTCTGCTGCCCTCTTGTGTCTTCCCTTGCTCTGTTTCTCTGTCCTGCCAGCACCTGTTGCCAATTTCCTCGTCAGCTCTCTCTCTGTCTCTGTCCCCTTTAAAAGCCCTCCCTGTTCAGTTCCTGTTGCTGGATCCTCGTCAAACATCCCGTCTTGCTTCCTGTCTGTTATCTGCCTGCCCTGTCTCGTCTCTCCCTGGCTTCTAGTTTGATTTACCCCTGATGTCTCCTTGGTTCAGGTTCGTTTGCTTTTTTTCTGTTGGACTCTGATTCCTGCCCCTGGTTCTATAAACCAGAATAAACAGGCTTTATTCACCTCTGCCTACTGGTCTCTGCGTTTGGGTCCTCCACACAAACACCGCTTCATGACACTGTCAGGAATCCAGTTTTTGTGGGTTGTTTCCGTGTTTCCTTTTTTCCTCCACCAGGTGGTGCCCCGCCCTCATTGGGCCTCCCTGCACACCTGCAGCTCGTTGCCTCATTACCTGTGGAGTGTTTTTAAGCTGCTGACTGCCACTACCTCGGGGCCAGAGTGTTTGGCAATACTGGGAAGTCATCCTGCAAACTGGATTTTTCTGACCTTCTCTCCCTGGAAGGATCAACAGAGCTTCAAACTGAGCTAAGGATTTAAACTGGAGGTTTGAGTCAACTTTTCCCCCAAGAGATCGCTTGAGCTTCACACTGAGCTAGGGATTCATCTCCACTACGAGCCGTTCAAGTACCGCAGGAAATCTGAGTGGCGGTCAGCTTCTCCATTCACCAAGGAACAACCGCACTCTGAGTAAACCCTGTCCGCCCAACACCAAACAAGACAATCACTGGAACATCCCACACAGACTGGATTCTATAAAGGACACCTTTTGTCGGAAACTTCCGGTTGAGCAGAGTTCAGAGCAGCATTGGACTCATGTCATTATCCTAATAAACCTGTTAAACTTTTCCCTGGTCTCTCTGTTTGGTCTTCTGCATTTTGGGTCAGACCTTTAATTAAATCATGACACATCCATGTTATACATTGAAATTTTTAATAAAAAATTAAAATAAAAATTCCATTTTAAAATCTAAAGTGTTTTTTTAAGTAGAGAACAACAATCGTTCAGTTTGGTATACAGATAAGTTCCTGATTCACATATTTTATAAAACACCTAAACTGACTGTTTTTTTTTTTGTTTTGTAGTGGAAAAAAAGTATTCAACTATTCACTCTAGTTAAATAAATGGAAATCGATGGATTTCACTCAGTCGGTACATTTATTCATATCTTTGCAAAGAGAGAACAGTTTATCATTCAGCCCTTATGGCACAGCATTCTGCCCTTATCTGCCTGAGCAGCGTTCGTTCCTCCTTACTTACAACAATGGAAAACTAGTCAGAGTCAAAACAAATTACAAACACTTTGGTTAAAGAGTAACATGTTATGAATAAACCTTGAGAAAGAATCTGGCTTGTTATGGGAAGAAGCTATGACTGATCTACAAACACCATCCTGCAGAGAATGGTGTGGCCATTAAGGTAAAACAGACTGAGTGAAAACCTTTATAGTGAGTAAATAGGATAAATTAATATATAATAGAAGAGAAATCTAAATTTTAGGACAACAGTTTCTGTCAACATATTCTCATTATCAGTTCGTATGAAATCGTACGAAAAGTTATGCACACTATTTTGTACGATTTGGACGTTTTTCCTCAAAAAACCACATCAGTTCGCATGCGCTGGCAGACAGAAAAAAAAAGCAGATCCGCGGACGGAGGTAAAATCGGGAAAAACAGTGCAATCAGCACTTATTCGTGTCTCTAACTACGTTGCTTGCTTTATATCTTAGGGTTAGGGTCAGGGTTAGGGCTAATTGTAATTTATATTCTATATTCGTGAATGGTGCGTCACATGCGCATGCGCATACGACGGGAAAAAAACGTACGAAATTACAGTGCATACACACTCACAATGAGAATAGGATGTTTCTGTCATAGCCTTCGTAAAGCTAGTGTTGGATTCGGAAAAAAAAGGGAAACAGGATCAGAAGACAAAATTTTTCTTCTTCTTTTTTCTGTCTTAATGTTTCTCAGTTGGTTTTAGGCTGCCCTGCAAGGCTTTAAACCTGGGTTTGAATGGAGACTAAGCCATTCTCAATTCCTAATTTCAAGGTACTCATTTTGAGCCTGGATCCAGATTTAATTTTTGATTCTGTTCATGGTGGAGAATCCTGCTTCACAGCAGCAGGTTGAGCCAAACATCCTCTAAATGTGCAGGGTCATCTTTGAGCACGCTCAAAAGCTAAAGAGTTTTCATCATTTTTTAAGTAAAGTTAACTGAATGCATTTTACAGTGTAGTCCTGCTGCATTTTTCTTGAATAAAAACAAAACTGGAGATAACATGCTAACATTAGAAATAGATAACGATACAAATAAAACTGCTTTTGAAAAAAAAATACTTGCTGTCCTATCCAGCTATAAGCTAATGATCTGAGGTTATTTTGGGTGATAAACATTGGAAAACAAAATAAACAGCCAAATATTTTAATAATGAAAACCTTACAAGTTAAAGGCAATTAACACAAAGAAGGAGGCTATTGTCAGGCTGCACAGCACTCCCAGGTTGGTGCTTCTGCTGCTGACATCCAGTTCAATCAGCACTAATCAATAGGGATGACCTGAACAGACAACAACCATTGAAAGCTTCATCTGATCTGATCTGACTGCAACAGTGAAGGACATCTGGGGTGTGAAGCTACGTGCTGTCAGGGCGCTGATGGGGCTGATATTCCTGCTGGACTTGTCCTGATTAATATTTCATATAAAGTAAGCATATAAGCAGATAATCACCAGCAGCTTCACATCTATTCTGTATTCTATTCTAGGAGAATGTCCAAAGGCCGGCTGATTACATCATAGCACGGCGCCGAGGTCGGTTCAGATTGCAAGACTCCTCGTTATGTGGAAGAAAAAAATGCATGCTTCTTTTTACCTGTTTTGAAGGACGGGTGCGTTGTATCCTCAGAAACCTTGGGTATCCCATGATTCATTGCGAGTCCAAGTGAGCCGGCTGCTCCGTGTTCAGAGGAAAAGGCTATTTGCCGTCAAACAGTGGTGAATATTGGAAGCATGTGTAGTATGTGAATAGTTCTGTCTGCAATGAATGAAAATTGTTGTTTTAAATGGTTATTGAATCAGATATGTGGCGGTAATGTTTGGTTTATTGAAAGGTTTTTATCTGTTACTGTATAAATGGGTTTGGCTTTAATTTTAGGACAGATTCTAATATATCTGCAGTGTGGGGGACTATAAATCTGATACGATGCAGCTGTTGAAGCTCCTGGAAAATGGTAAAAACACCCAAAACAGCGGTGAGAAGTTCGGTATTCATTCTTTTTCCTGCTTTGTGTGTCAACTCTCACGGTTGCTAGGCGACAAAGCCTACGGCGGTGAAAGCTACGGAAGGATGGACCCGTTTGAATTCACAGCCAAAACCCTTCCGGCCTCCTTATTTTCACTGACCTCGAAGAATTTAATCACGATAGACCGGGTCATTGGAGGATGCAGGGTTTAAAATCGAACGCACCCGAGGAGGCAGAGATGAGTTCTTGCAGATTTAATGGAAGGTCCAAGGCAACAAAAGAAAATAAAAAAATCCAAAAACCAGATGTCAGGGAGAATCGTACACAGGGAGCCAAGTAACAACAAAACAACCAGAACTGAGGAACTGCAGAGGTGGTGTATATATGGGGAACAGAACAAGGGATGGGCTAATGAGCTAATATGGTGCAGGTTTGAATAGATCTAACCAGAAGGGAGCCAAAGGGAAGGAAATGGGTACGGGGTGGGAGGGGCAGAGAAACTAAACATAAACCTAAACAAAGGACAGAACCCTGACAGATTGATGGTTAATGAGAGAATCAGAGGAATAATTCAATGTTTGTTTTATGGATTATTTGTGAAGCAACTTTAGAGAGGGAAGAGATAGAAAGTGTGGATTTTTTTTTTGTAATCATTATATCCTCAGAGGCAGGGCTGATAACGAGCTCATAATAAACACCATCATAATTTATGTTTTTTGCCTTTTTATAGGCTTATTTTCAGAGATGGATGAAGTGCCTTTTTAGCATTTTATTTAAGTAATGCTTGCGCTACTTTGACATTTTTTTACTCATTTAAAAGTAGTAAGTATAAAAGAAATGACTAGAGTAACAGTAAATGTCCTTGGTAAAACTCCACTGCAGTGATGAGTAATGATTCCCTCATGAAATCTAATTTAATGTTTAAAATTATGTAACAATTCTGATCATTTAAAATT